AAGAAATTAACAGAGTATTTGGTGAAAAATCCACGTATTGAATTGCATGTGTCTTCAGGGCAGTTTTTGCTTCCTGGTTTCTAGACCAACACAGCAGCAGTCAGGTGGGGGCTGTACTGAGAGAGATGGAAGGAAGAAAAAAAAATGGTTTAGCACAGTAGTCCCTGACCTTATCAGCACAGAAACTTTCCCCCAATCTTTTTGAAAACCAGAGCTCAGCCACATCCTATTGCAGGAGACACGGGCTGGAGCACATGACGGGTGACTGGTGCTCACCCCCAGCCCGAAGAATCACCAGCTCCAAACTGCCTCCGAGCCAGAGCGCGAGATGGGACCGCGCAGGGTGTCAGCCGGCCTCACGCTGCACCCCGCGGGGAAGGCTCGGTGGCTGCGACAGCCGACGGCAACCCGGCTGATAAGAGGGAACAGCAGAGACACGTACACAAAGCAGCATTATGAGGGGAGCTACGAAGACATCCTGTTTACAGCTAGAGGCAAAACCAAACAGTAAACAAGTTTGCTCAGGTCTAGGGCTGCTGTGCTCAGGCACATGCGATTGCAACCCTTCCTTTTCAGTTTGATTACTTGGTTTCCTGCCCCTGTGACTTGTTTTCCCCCGTGGGCTGTATTTATTTAACTGAAGACAGCTTTTTCCTGGCAGAACACTGTACTGTGAAGTCTTCGGTGGCTTCTGCAGTTTAAACACTGTAGATTACAGACTGTCACCGCCTCCAGCAGACAGATGGGATATGAGAGCACAGCGATACTACAAGAATTTACAAATGCATTTCTCCTCCCCCCCTTTTTCATATCAAGGCGCTAGTCTCCTCTTCAAGTACAAGATGTTATGTTGTGGATTTGAAGTGCTTATTCCTGATCTAAAAGGCAATATAGACTGAAGGTTGCTGGAGCCAGAATCCAGATTAACTGTCAAAAAAGAATATGTTCTTCTACACCATTAACAGTTATTCTATATAGACAGAATTAGGCATCCAGATGAAAAACAGCCTCGCTGGAAGAAGAGGTTTTGCAGCAAAGCGAGTGGCTCATTTGTTTGATTTTTGACACATTACCACAGCAAGAATTGTTTCACCAGACATCTCCACTCAATACCTTAAACTCACAGCAAAGGTCTGGTCTGCAAGTATTTATGTGCTTGTCCAAGTTTCCTAATAGAAGCAAAAGAACCATCACATACAGTTCATATAAACTCATCAACAGCCATAGAAAAGAACTAACAACTGTTGGGCATGTGCGCTGGTAGGATCAAGTTCACAGACCTTATGATCCTGTTGGCTGGAAGACTTTTCTGGAGGTCATCTAGACCAAAGTCCTGCTCAAAGCAGGACGAATTAACAACAGGTGGGTCAGGGCCACATCCAGTTGAGTTTTTGGTGCCTTCAAGGACGGAGATTCCATAACCTTCCTCAGCTCCTGTTCCTCACTACTTTCTGACTACTTGTATGGTGACAATTTTTTTCTACTGTCTAATGAGAATTTTCTACACACCAACTTTTCTCTGTTGACTATTCCCTATCCCTGTGCCCAGCTCCATCTTCTGTACACCCTCCATTAGATAGTTCAAGACAGCAGAAAGGTCTCCCTTAGCTTTCCCTTCCTAAAGCTAAGCAAACCCTCTTCTCTCTCCTCCTGCCCTTGGTGCTCCAGCCCTTTCATCTTGGTGGCATCTGCTGCACTCACTCCACTGTGTCCACGTCTTTGTTCTACTGCGGTGTCCAAAATGGGACACAGAACTCCAGAGGCAATCTCATAACTACTGAATATAAGGGAAGATGTTACTCCCTCAACCTGTCGGCGTCATTTGGTGATGCAGCCCCAGATGCAGCTGTCTGCCTTTGCCACGAGGGCACGCAGCTGGCTCCTGGCCAACTTGCTTTTGAACAGTCCCTTCCCCTTTTCTTCAGGCAGCACTAGTGCATGGGGTTATTCCAACGCAGAGGGAATATACCCAGTCACACTTGCCCTTGTTAAACTTAGGAGGTTTAGTTCAGCTCATTTCTCCTGCCTGTCAAGAAACCTCTGAAGAGCAGCTGTGTCCTGTAGCACATCACAACCAACCTGGTAATCTACACTGCTCTCGATGGAAGCAGCTATTCTGAAAAAATCAGACTCCTTATCTGTGTAGAAGAAGCTATAGTAGATTTTACAAAATGTATTGCTTGATTCCCTTTGCTCTGAACGTGCGACATGCTCACATTAGCGGCTTTCTGAACGTCTTATGACTACAGAAGTGTTGCCTCTATTTTCTTCTGTGGGTTTGAGCACCTTCTGACATCACCCAGGATGCAGCAGGCCCTCATCCAGTTGGTTTGGTCAGTGCAGGAGGGGAACATCAAGAAGTACCAAGGCCACAGAAGAGAATTTAGACTCATTCAAAAAAAAAAAAAAAAAAAAAAAATCCACAACGCCCAGGGACAGTGCAGAAGGGCACAGGCGGATACTAAGCTGAGACAACAGGAAATGTTACAGTTCAGTAAGCGCTGACAAAGTTCGGATCCAGAATGTTTGACTGTTTTACATTAATAGGAAATCGTGGGACAAAGCATCATAACAGAAATCCTTTCCAAAACTTTGTTCCATTACGGACCAACATTTTCATCTGACACTGGATGGTAACAACTTTTCCTGAAATAAGTTTCTCATCACATGAGAATTCTTTCTTTCTTTCTTTGTTTTTTAAAACCAGCACTAGACTACTAAGAACAGTGTAGCTCACTGTCAAGAAACATTTATCGTGATTTCTCATGGGAGTTAAAAAGGGAACAGAAGTTTTGTCACAGAATAACTCAAACAGATAAATCTTATGGCACATTTCAAAGGCTGACATCAAAGCAATTTTATGTAGACTTGCTTTATACAGTAAATAGTTACATATAATATGCATGACAAAAATATGATTGTTTCAGTATTTAATATTTAATAGCCAATCTAAACAGAAGTACTCAAAAGGAAGAATGTTTACACCATTTCAGTAGTCACTTAGCTCAGCGGGTGGTCGCAATAATCCTTACTGTTTTCAGGAACTGGATGCAGCTGTAAGCACAAAAACTCCTGTTAAAGTTAACACGTGACAAAGTTCCGCTGCAACCCTCTGAAAAGCAAAGAGCTGCATTAACAGCAAGTCAGGCTCTGAAGCACACTGAAATGTATTGTGTCCTATAGCAGAGTTTGATACTCTGCTTGTCCCATGAGGGTAACTTCAAAAGGCACTCCGAGTTAAACTACAGTACATTTGGTCCACAAGCATTTTAGAATCTTCATATGGTATAGTAGAAAAAAATATCCTATATTTATTCAATATAAATTGCTTTAGTCTCTGTCCTAGCCACAGAGCAGTCAAATTATACTGCACTTTTAAAATATTCTGTGTAGGCTGTGATAAAAATCTAATATTTACACGTTGTGTTTGTCAAAGAACAATGCAGTACTTTGTAAAACATTTAAGAACCAAGTTTTAACAATTATTCTTGTATTATTATTATTAATATAACCAGAGGCTACATCAATTTTTTTTTTATTTATTAGCTCCTATTCTAGAAACATTTTTAGTCCTTCAAAAAATTTGTTATGCTGCACTTTGTGTTCACAACTGGTATCAATGCTTGCCTGAAATCGCAGTAGTTAGAATATTTAAATAAATACATACATCATTTCTAAAGAAGTAATAGCTTTGGAGTTTTGTAAACAAAATGTGGAATGTCTGTAACAAGACCCAATTTGGCATGTTATGACTTTAATTGGCAATACTTTACAGTTATACAACCTCTGCCAGGGTAGAAAACAGTTTGGTAGGCACACCTTACAAATCATCCTGGAAAAACGATCCAAAAAATACTGATTGTTCCTTAGGTTGTATGAATAAATAAAAATGATTAAAGAGTAACATGATGACCAAACCCAAAATTGACATTTATGTGATCTGTAGGGGGGGGGAAAGAAAAGCAAGTCTTATTCTTTTATAAATACAACGTAAAGGAAATGAACAAACCATAAATGAATAGATGATAACGAAGATGTACAGGACACAAAGGTTGGCAGAATAAAATTAGCATTAAAAGTTTATGGAAATACTGATCTAGACAGAACTGGTATCTTAGCTGCATCTCACCAGAACACAACCATTCATTTTGTCAATCCAAATTTGAAGAAATTCCAAATCTGTGTTCAGTAAAGCACATTGAGTGCAAAGCACTAGCTCTGGTGAAGTTTTGCTGACATCTAGGTTGCCCTACATTCCTGTTAAAACAGGAGCGGTAACAGAAACGTAACAACAGATGTGCAGTTATGCCAGTCACGTATAAATACATGTATATGCAAGCTCTAGAAATTCAAATGATGTCAGGAGGCCTCAAAGGCTGTGCTGGATATGTTTTATATAGTACAGTTGTAGTTTACACATTCCATTTCATGACATACCCAAAATGCTCCACATAACGCACCCCTGTGCCTCTCTGGAGTTTTGTATTCTATACAGAATAGCTTTCTTCTGGCTTTTGTAACTAAAAACTGATGGTTTGAGAGAGCAAGGAAAAGCTACTTGCAGGCTTTTGTGGAAACCACCAGATTTGCTCTTTAAGATGGTTATTGATTGATGAATGATTAGACGTTTCTGTTCAAAACCAAGAACCATGTTGGTAAGCTTGCTGTTAGTAGACCCTGAGAGCTGTCACCATATCTAATCTAAAGGCCTGGTCTGTGTAGTTAATAGTGCCTTCACAGGGCAATTGGAAATCCTTCAGCTGGGAAGCCTACCCTTTCTCATTGCCCAACAGAGAGATGTTTCTAATTTTGGTAATGAAAACTCCTCTCCTTCCCTTCCCTCCAAAGTAGAGAATTAGGGGAACATCCAGGGTACACCAAGTTAAACCTCTGTCCCATCACTAACAAACTGCATACCTGGTAAGCAAAGGTCAATGTTGAGAGGAAAAAAAACCCAAATTAGCATCAAGAATTAACATAGCTCCTTAAATAACTACACAATGTTATTTGTCCATAAGTTAAACAGTTAAGCTGCAACTGTACTATATCATAGGCATTAAACTTGATTGTAACTGAGTTAACAGCCACATTTGCCTTTTTCTTGCTCCTCATTCAGCTGTTCGGTGGAGCTGTGCCCGTTGGAGCGCACCACCCCTTCTGGGATCCAGGATTTATCCACACAGCGTTCCATGCGCTTCATAATGAGGTCCAGCAGGGTTTCAATGGCTTTGCTTACATTATTCCCATTGGCTGCACTGGTTTCAAAATACGGTATTCTGCAGAAGACAAAACCCACAAACGTACGTCACGGGTTATATTCGCAGGAGAAAAAAGCAGTAACGATTACTGCCGAGTATGCAGAACTCCCGCAAACGCTGTCACCGCTGCTCCACAGCGAAAGACACCAAATGGTCAGTCGTCTGACACGCAAAAGAAGTTTATGAAACAGCTGACTCCAGAGGTAGGGCAGAAGGGGGAGCTCTCAGGTACATCATGGAGCCCACAGTTACAGAGGCACTGGTCAGGATGAGTTCCCCATGTTATTATGCTCCAAGGGTCTGGTTTTTCCAGCTCTCTTCCCCATAGCAGAGGCAGTGACTTTATACAGCCTTGTGTGCAGAAGCGTTCTCCTGACCAATCTCTGCCTACGTTAGCCAGGGAGTCACTGCAGGAGAGGGAACGCTGTGCAGCCGTGCCCCTGCAGGGAAGGCAGTGAAGACTCCCAGTGGGGTACTCTCTATCGCTACAAAAGGTGACTGTTTCTTCTGTTAACATCTGAACTATAAATTCTCTTAGATTAGAAAAAAAAAAAATTAAAAATGTCAGTGCTCAGATCACCTCTGTGTCTGTTAAGAAAAGTTTCTGGGTGCTGAAAACACATTGCTGGTTTTCATGACTGTTGGATGCTTCAATGGCCAGTCTGGAGGCTTTCACCTTCTGCACTGAGGGCTCCCCACAGGGTGGTGCTAGAGTGGCTGCACTAGTGTTCCTCCTCAAGTGACTGAAATAGTCACTCCATAATTTTAAGTATTTCTTATTTAACTTGCAAGATTCAATGAGTGATCAAAGATATTATCTAGTGTCTCAGTGTGTAGGTCTCCTGCAATAATTTTCAAAATATGTCACCTACCAGACAAGGCCTTTCCACAGAAAGGGGGTATTTGCTACGTCACACTTCTGTTACCAGAAAACTTTTCGCTGCAGCAGAATTCATCTCGCTTCCCCCTCAGGAGCAAGTGACTCCTAAAGAAGCTATCCTGTCTCATCTCTACAGGGCAGAGAACTTTATAACTGCCTACAGACTGGACTTGGTCTGTAACCTTGACTTTTAGCTCCCTATTCCTAAATTTAAGTTGGCATTTTCAGCCACAAAGATAAATATTTCATAAATTATTTCCAGCGGTCACCTGCAAAGAGATCTCTTTCAAATCCTTAAGAAATGGCCACATGCCATCTGCTGCCGTTTAAAAGTTTTTGGTCCTTCATAAGCAGCTGGTTGAAGCACCGTACGCACTTGCTGTTGCCTGTGAGACACGGACTTCAAACAAGCGTTTTCACGGGAGAAGGAGAAAAGGAAGGAGGTAATATTGCACTGAACCCATTTGTCTCTAGAGAGATTGCTCCCAGTTTGTCTCTAGCGATTCTTCAAGGTCAAGGAGAGCCGATTCATGACTACACTACAGGAAACAGCACGGCACAACATGACTAGACTTGCAGAACAAGGCAGTCAGCACTGAGGGGGTAGCGTGCACACTGTTCATGTTTTGTGGGCCTTTCTTTGGACCAGCTCTCATCTGTTCCTCTGGACTGAATGCATATTACTGCTTGGAGCACGTTATCCAGTTTAGTTTGCAACTGAGAAGGAATCCAGTTCACCTGGTAGGAAGCTGCCCGGCTATGAATCAAACCACAACAAATGGATTGTAAGATTTGCTTCAGAAGTGCCCTTCTGTTCCATGCTGAAATACGAATTTAATCCAGAGATGAGACCGCTGGAAGAGCCAAGGGGGTGTAAGTGTACTACAGGATTAATTACTATCTGATAGGAACAAAGATTTCGCATAGTTACTTCAGGGACACATGACCTGGGCCTGTAGGAGAGTGGAAGGGCCAGGCTACCCCATCTTCCTGCTGGTCTGACTTGGTTTTCAGACTCCCTGGGACTCTGTGAGAGTGCAGACACCTGCAAGAAAACACGGCTGAGCCACCTGAGGCTCAGTCACTGAGGGTTTACCTAAGGTACAGTCCTAACGAAACTGCTTCAACAGTTGAGGGCTCTTTGGGATTTCACTTTGCAGGAGACCTGGGTTTTCTGCACCCCGTAGAAAGCCTCAGCACAGGCAAGAGCAAAGAATTAGACCCCCATCATTCACCTGCCTCTCCAGCTAAATTCTACCTCTTTTCCAGAGTGTTTCTGAAAATTTACTTTGTTTACTGCCAAGGAAAGAAGAGAAACCAAATCTCCAGTGCAAGACTATGACAACACTAAGCATGGATTTTTAGGCAAGGCAGAAAACATTAATCTCTGACAGAAAAAAAAAGGTATCACACCAGCCAGTTGAGTATTCTAAAATGCTTGTTCTCATAACAACTTTTCAGCATACAGAAAAAGCATTCTAGAAAACACTTAATTCTGCTTTAAACACAGCAGTAACTGGAAGGAAGTTACTTACCCATATTTTTCTGCAAGTTCCTTAGCCTCCTCTTCTTTCACCATTCTTTGGTCTTCCAGATCGCTCTTGTTTCCACATAACACAATGTCGGGGTTTTCGCAATACGCATGCATTTGTAGCTGACCTAACAGCAACGACGGGAACAGGGGTCAAAACCCACCGTCACACACAAAGCTCACCGAGAACACTGCCACATGTCAGAGGACACAAAGTCCTACTCTTTGAAAGACAGAAAACATGTATGTTCTCTGTTACCTCACAGGACTTCTGCTCTTGCACTGAGGAGCCAGAGAACAGTTGGACATTGACTACCATGGACCCAGCTAAAAAACCAGAGGAGCAGAAGCCTGAGAAAGTTAGTACAGAAGCTGGGTATCTGTAGCTTCAGGAGTTGGGCTCACCAGGCACCTTCAGTGAGCTGCCAGGAAAGGATACACTTCCCTCCTCTGATGGATGATGCACTTTGGGAACTCCTTTGCCTAAATACACCAGCCTAGTAACACCTGCTGGCGAAGCTGCAGGTGAATCACAAGAGTTTTGCATAGGCTTCCCACACACTTAAATTACTGAATATCACCAGAGCCAGGGATAGGATGATCTCTCAGCTTGCTTTTATATAGCTTAAGATTCAAGTTCAGTAGGCAAAGATGAATTTCAGGTAAGCACTAGAAGCCACCACTAGCAGCTATGACAATTATGAACGCAACATTGACTTTCTTTTACTGAGAAAGCTAGAAAACCCAGTCTTTTCAGTTCTGTTTCTCAGCAAGACTCTGTACTTACAAACACAGCCCCCTCCCCTCCAATGCAAAGAAAGAAAAATAAAATAAAGAGGTGCTGTACTTATCCAGTTCCTGACATTCAGAAAGCTTTGCTCATTTGTCAGATCAAAGAGCAGAAGAAAGCCCATAGCGTCTCTGAAGAAAGCTGTTGTCAGGCTACGAAACCTAGACCAGCAAAGAGAAATTAGTTGGCTTCATATGACAAGTTACTTTGAACATGTAATTCCAGTCACAAAACTGAGGTAACTTAAGACTGAATTAACTAGAACGAAATATTCATCATCTTTGTTTTGCTGATGCGGGGACTGCGTAACAGGAATTGCGAACATGACTGTGGTCTAATCAAGGCCTAAGGAGTCAAGGAGATATTTCACTCAAGAGCGAAAACTTTAGACAAAGCATGACTGGATCAAGATTCAGAAATTAAAATAAGAATGAAATCCAAACTTTGAACAGAAATTTGTCCCCTATACACATCGGTTCTTGATTTTAAGACTATCAATCACTAAGATGATAGTCTGTCGATAGACAAATAGAAAAGAATCCTTTGAGGTGATTTCACCTGTCTGACTTTCCGAAGACCTCCACATATTTACAGAAATTTAAGGAAAACTGAAAAAAGAAAAGCTTTAAAAGCATTGATATGCATTGGCCATGAAAAAATAAACTGAAATTTTCTAAAAGACAAAAAGCAACAATTACAGCTTTAACATTCTACAGCTGTAAATTCCAGTTGCAGTTTAATGGGTATTCACGGGGAACTTCCCATCGCTGTCCCATGTAAGCACACTTTCCCATTTTGAGTCGTGCAATTAAGGTGTGACAAGCAACCAAGAGAATTCCTGTACTCGGTTGCATCTGGCTTGATGACAACTGCCTGACTTGCCAGGTGGGGGCGTGGAACGTACCTTTCCTGCCCTGCTGTATCCCAGAGCTGAAGATGTATCCTCTGTCCTCTGCCACCAACCCCATCCGGCCCATTTGGTCTGTACACCTGTAGAAGGCAAATTTTCCAGCCGGAGCATTAGCGGTCCAGCCTCTATAGGACACGAAATAACCGACATGTACAGTCACTAAATGCAGCAAAACTAGCGTTGCTGATGCAAAGATCCAAACTACAACTCAATCCCTCTCCTTTATGAGACAAAAGTAATAGGGGGCGCATTTTAATTTTGCATCCAATTGAATATTTAAAAACAAGGGTAAAAGTGAAACTGGAAAAACAGTATTGAATAGACTATGGACCCTGAACAGATATTTAGAGCGGCCATTAAGTTTCATTAAACAGACTTGATTTCAGTATTTTGATTTTCTGTTTTTTTGCTATTACCTTGTATCACATTCAAATTAAAATACAAGAAAGCAACAGCCTTTGTTCACTAGCCATTCCAGTTCACAAAGAGCAGAAACATTTCTACTACAGCCCAACCTGTCCCCGTGGAAAGAGCTCACCAATAACAGTGCTACCCTGGGTATGATGTGCACAGCTCACTGAGCAGATACGCTCATCAGCGCTCACTGAGCGGTAAGAAGTGGTTGCTTAGAATCAGCTCTTCTTACTTCAGCTTTAGGGGAAATGGGGGGAGACCACACACAATAATGACAGGTAAAATGAGATCCCTTCCGTGTCACAAAATTAAGCACACAGTAACTATTGATTGCATGCCTGCATCTAAGGATTGGCAGGTCACAAAACCCCGATTCTAGCCATCCATCACCAAGACAGACACCATCCTAAAGCAGCACACTGTGAAAACTCACCACTCTCTTTTCCCGAAAGTCAATGCCCACCGTCGTGATAAACTTGGAATTAAATTTGCCATCTGTATACTGGTAAAGAAGGCTGGTCTTTCCTACTCCAGAGTCACCAAGTGCTAGAAATTTTATGAGGTAATCATAGTCCCCATCAGACATAGTGAGAATTCAGGAGACACCTTAAAAGGTAAAGCAAAAAGGATTAGTTAGTCAACAACTCTGCCAAGGTTTCTTTTGACAAACATTTAAGATACTATCTGAACTACAAAGCATCCAGCAGTGGGACCAGTTCTGTACTCTTTCACACGGGTTTCTCCTTAAACTCTCAATTATGCCAATTACCAATATCTAATTCATCTGTGGCTGAAGAAGTGCATAGGGAATTCTATTACATTCCTCCTACTAGAAAGAGAATGCAACACAATTGTAACTTCTTCAGGAAAGACTGAAAATCAAATACAAAGTATTCAAGGCACCTGGAACATGAACTGCAGAACTGGTTTTGATCTGTGGGGAAGCTGGCAAAAGTTATTTAAAAGTACCAGCACTGCAATTCTGACCTCGCATTCACCGCGACATTATTAACCCACGCAAATAGAAATTTTTTTTGCAGACTGCCCACCGTATTTAAATAAAAATGACAATCATTTGCTATTAATACCTATTCTTCAGTCTGGAAAAAAATTTTTCTTACGAGGGAGAAAAATAACCAAGCAACATTTTGTTGTTGTTTTTGTTCAGGTTTTTTTGTTTTGTTTAGAGGACCAATTTTCAAAGTTTTTAACGTTTTTATCATGATGCTAGTTAATCATTTAAACTAAATCTTGATCCTGAATTGCCAAACTACACACACATTTTCCCGTGGCCTGTACACATTTAAGAAATTTCTCTCTATCCTTTTTATGCCTTTGAAAAAATAACCGTATTAGATACAGTCTGATCAAAGTGCAGTAACAGCTGAAATATGTAACAAAAAGCCACAGCAAACTTCACATATACTAGAAAGACTGATGTAAACGCAGTAGTACTTTCCTGTCGAGCAGCTACTGAGCCTCTCCTCCCCCAAAACAAACAGTCAAGAGCTGCCTTATGTTGCATTTAAAGACACGAACATGAAAAGATAAGCCTAAAATAACCATTCTAAAAGCAACATAAAACTGACATTAAATTGCCTGTTACAAAGGATGGAAATACATACCAAAATACAAAAAAGAAGATAGAGGATGAAATAAAATACAAAAAAGTAGTAAGATCTGCTGTTTCTACTGTAAATAAGTATTTCTGGAACTCTTTGTAGCTTGACCTAGATAAAATTATCATTACAAGTCAAACACTGCCATAGTTTGGATCAATGGCAAAACGCCAATTCATTTCTTGAGTATCAACTCCCAGCTTGAGGTTTGGAACAAACGCCGTGTCTCCAGTATGTGGGCACCAATCACCACTATTAAGCTAAAAACGTAACTACCTTGAAGGCTTTGACTTTCTGTTAGTACTGCCCTCAGTTACCAGAGAGCTGCGACCTGCTGCCTCAGCTGTGGCTGGGCTCGCCCCGTTCAAACGCAGCCGACGGTCAGATTTGTGCCCAGGCACTCTCCAGCTAAAGAGGCAGTGGAAAGCGTCTGACACTTTCTGCCATTTCCAGTTTTGAAGTCTCCCTTTCCCAACCACGGCGGATTTTACATGATGCCATCAAGGACAGTCAAACCTTGCAGGAAAGGGCTTTCAGGTGACAGAGCTCACACTCGCTGCATGCCACAGCCAGCTGATTCACTTTCCACTGCTGCGTTCTCACACAAAGCTTTGCAACAGACTGAAAAGAGTGCAACAAAACCCTGCAGTAATAGCTACCAGGGAGCCTTCTGCACCAACACCCCACAGCGGCAGGCCTGCAGCCCCATGCAGGTCTGAAGGAGGGGCATCCTCAAGCCACAAAGTTGAGCAGGCAGCCACCCACTGATATAAGAACATCTTTAGGAAAAAAATAAAAGCCCTGATCCATTAGGCACACTCATACATTCCAGCAAAAGGGGGTTTTGTTTCATTTCTAAATACTCCCCCTCATTAGGGAAGGAAAAAAAAAAGTAAGAATCAGATTGCCTACCTTGTAGATATACAAAGTCTTTTCATTGAAATGCACTAGAAGAAAGGGAAAAATATTTTAAAAAGCAAACAAGGAGGTTTTTACTGAAGACAGGGTTTGATTTAGACTTGCATCTCGTTTAGGGTGTTTCTTTTGCCCTCAGACGTTCTCAAAGGGCAGTGTCAGCTTCCCCCTCTACTCAAGTGCATGTTCTTTCAGCTTCAATATCCCTAAATTAATTGTTGCTTAAAAAGGCTTAAATGCAAATCTTGGGGCCAGTATATTACACCAAGACAAGGTATCTTCATGCCATTTACGACATTATCCCACCTGCACAGAAGTACTTCCCTTGTCTTGCCGGTATTTTGTTAGCTAGCTGCAGGTATAGAGAACGTACTTTTAATAACGGATAAAAATGACAGTGTCACCCAATCACTGCTGATTTATGTTGTTAGAAAGCTAATTTATCATGTGTCCTGTGCAAGACCTTACAGAGGAAGAATGGGCGCTACAGCTCCTACCTGGAGCCACAAGAGCTCAGCTGCGCCCTTCCACTGGGCAGAGCTGGGTGAAAGCTCTGGTTGAAACAGAAAGGTCAAGGTTAGACCTTGGGGAAGTAAAACCTGAAGGTATTCCTAGCGTCACATCTGATCTGTAGAGTATCTGCTTGGGCAAACATGCCACACCATTTGGACCATGTAAACCTCAATTCTGCATATGGCTGGTCATACAATTGCAGATGACTGACGGAGGACCAGGAGCTCTTCACAGGAAGGACACAGAAATGCCTTCTGAAGGATCACCTTGAGAAGGAAACTTTCTCCTTAGGCTTTTGAAATGCACACACGCCTTTCACTGCACCTCCTAATGTTAATCTATTATTCAGATATCTCCAGGGAGTGGTGCTTGTGAAACCCTGCGCAGCTAACCTACCCTTGGAGTCAGGCAGAGAGCTATTCTCACAGCAGCTTCAAGCCTTGTCCTCCTCCCTGTACAAATATTTAAAAAGCGATCTCCACCCTCGACTCCCGAGACCTGCAGTCCTACTGCCCAGACACATCCAGCTCCACGTAACAGAAATAAGAACATATTCACAGCAAAAACTGCTGTGGAGATTTTAAAAGTCATGGCCCTGTTACTAAAAACCCATCCCATTTTTTCATTCCGGTTTTGCCTTTTTTTTTTTTTTTTTTTTTTTTTTTAAATTAGGCTTTTTATCAGGTTACCAAAAAAAAAAAAAAAAAAAAAACAACAAACCAACCAGAATTCATTTTAGAATGATCATTCCCAAATCTCGCTTCTCAGAGTAAGAACTCCTTGGCTGAAAAAAGTCACTGGTGAACACAGTCATAGGCTCCACATCAGGCCCTCCAGGATTTTGCCTTTTGCCTCCTTAAATCCCACTCAGCTCGGCTCTGCCCTTCGCCTAGCAGATGAACAGGGGCTATAGGCAAGCGCTGGGAAAGCTCCACTGGCCTCTTCCGTTGCTGGCAGGACCCCCACAGCCATCACTTAAGCTGTGCCTATGGAGCTGACGCTCTGGAGACTCCATACACACACACATCCAGATTGTAGCTTGCCAAGAAAGATGCTCTGCAAAGCAGTGCTACTCTGGTGCAGTGGATTTCTTCGTCCATGGTACCATCACATGAACAGGCACCAACAGGCTTGTATTTTTGCCCCCAATGATAAAACAAGACTATGGCAACGTTGCCCCTGTACAAAGTAAGGAAAACGGGCTTGGCATGCAGGATTTCCCCTGTGCAGCACGGGGACAGGGAAGACGCTTCCTTAACTGGCCTCGCACAAAACATGCAACTCCTGTGCCGCTACAGAGCTGATGGATGTGAGAAGGAAAAAGGCAGAAGGCACAGAGAGATGAATAAATGAAAACACAAACCAAAAAAAAAAAGCACTGAGCTGCAAATAAAAATGTATACACACACAGAGTGAAATTCAGGAAATCAGAACATGCTCTTAGACAGTCCTCAAGCACATCAATTTAAATTAAAGTATACGACTTACCCCGAACTCTGCTAAAGGAATCGTTAGGGCACACTGGAGACAGTACTTCCAGTAGGAGTATTTTTCTAGCACCACCTCTTTAGCACACAGCCAAGAGGCTTACGTGTCACCTGTTTGCATTCACGTTGATGGGTGCCCAGAGATAGAGGTGTGCCTCGTGTCTCCAGGCCTAAGGACGGGGCTGCCTGACAGCATGGCTGGGAAGCAATTACACAGTTCACGTGTCCCCTTTACTCCTAGAGGCAAACAGCACTTCAGAAGAGATTTCTGCATGACCTGACCAGAAGCAGACCTACAGTATCGGCTACATCACCCACACACCTTAATACAGTTACGTGGTTCCTAACAAGTCTCTTCATACAAAGGTGTATTAGGGATGGGGTATATGGACCACAGCCGTTCAGTTCCATTCACAGCTCTACATCCTTCTCCCTCGGATGCGAGGAGGATGCAGCAGTCCTTAATGCAAACTGCTGTTTTCTTTCTTTCTCTCTTGTACAGGCTGGAGGACACTGCACTGCCCCACGGGTACCATGGTGAAAACCATCTTTATCACAGATCTCTAAAGAAGAGAAAAATAATTCTTTGGCAAAGGCTGGAACATAAGGTATTATGTCTGACATGACTTCAGACCACACCTGCAACACCAACCCATTCCACAGAGAAGCTTTTTGGGGGTGGAGGGTTCATCCCCACACTACACCACCTCCCTAGAGCAAAGAAGCCACTATTCTGTGTGATACTACTCAAATAAAACCATTTGTTTGACTCAACCCACTCTTCCCCCTCATACCAAGTGAAATGACTCTCTGTACAACTTAGGACATCCCGGATCTGCAGTGCGGCCAGCTGTAAAGCCAGTGAGTATCATGGCAAGATATACCACGCAACTATAAAGAGACACACTAATTGGAATTTGCCAAGACACAGATGTCACACCAATAATTAATTCATATTTTAAGATACCCCAGGATTTCATCCCATTGTCCTTTTGTGGATGGATAGCAGACACTCAAGGGTTAGTTAATTTTTAACAGTGTCCACCTTCTGCAGATGTCACTCAGCTTTCAG